TGTCTGACTCTTTGTGACCCCATGGACTGTAGCCCACCACATTCCTCTGTCCATGGGGTTCTCCAGGCAAGAATACTGGAGTGGGTTGTCATGCCCTCCTCCAGGGGATCTTCTCTACCTAGGGATCAAACCCAGGTGTCCAGCATTGCAGGTAGATTCTTTACCATCTGAGCCACCAAGGAAACCCTAAGCCACAAAGGAAATCCCAGAAAAAAAACTTTTTTAAAAAACAAGAAATCCCACATTTTCATTTTATACTGGACACCCACAAATTTTTGTAACTGGTCCTGCTTACAAGCTTGGGGTTCCCCTGCTGGGGTGTAGCCAGAACTTCCTTGGTGATCACAGGCCCGTAGACACTCTGGGCGGGTGACTGGGGAGTAAGACCAAAGACTTTGGAATCAGACTCTGCCACCTTTTGACTTTAGGATCTTTGGAAAGTATGGCCTCGACAGTCTTGTCTGTAAAGTGGAGAGAGATGTGAGCAGGTCCTGTGTGACGAACAGGTTCTGAATTTGATGATTTTAGAAAAAGTGCAGGGTTTTCCCTTTTGTTTTTAACGGGAACTCAGAGGCTCAGAGAACACGATCAAGGTCACAGTGTGAGAACTTGGAAATGCCTGTGTTTTTGTTTTTGTTTTTTGGAGCAGTCTCATTAAGATGAAATTTACATGCCAAATTAACCCTTTAAAATTTTTTATTGAAATATAGTTGATTTACAATGTTGTGTTAAAGTGTCCAGTGAAATGATTCACTTGAGCATTATACGTTCTCTTTAAGATTCTTTTGCATTATAGGTTGTCACAAGATGCTGCATACAGTTCCCTGGGCTGTACAGAGGTCTTTGTTTATTTATTTGGCTGTGCTGAGTCTCAGTCGTGGCATATGGGATCTAGTTCCCTGACCAGGGATCAAACCCAGCCCCTGTATTGAAAACACAGAGTCTTAGCCACTGGACCACATACTGGACTGTATAGTGTGTATATTTTAATCCCAAACCCCTAATTTATTCCCCCTTTCCCCTTTGGTAACCATTAGTTTGTTTTCTAAGTCTGCAAGTCTATTTCTGTTCTATAAATTAGTTCATTGGTATCATTTTTTTTTAGAGTCTACCTATAAATGATATCACATGGTATTTGTCTTTCTCTGCCTTACATCACTTAGTATAATAATCTCTAGGCCCATCCAGAATTCACCCTTTTGTATGTACAATTCGATGACTTTTTTAATACAGTCAGAGAATTAAGGAACATTCATACAACCTAATTTTAGAGCTTTTCCCACCACCATCACCACCCCCCAAAAGAAAACCTGTACCATGAGCAGTTACCCCCATCTCCCCTGGTGATCGCTAAGCTTTCTTCCTCTGTGCATACAGAGAAATCCTACCACAGATGGTCTCCAGGTTTTTGAGGTTCATCAGTGATGTGTGTGTCTGTGCTTCCTTCCTTTATCTGCCTGCCAACGCAGGAGACACAGAAGACACGGGTTCGATCCCTGGGTCAGGAAGATCCCCTGGAGAAGGAAATGGCAACCCGCTCCGGTGTTCTTGCCTGGAGGATCCCATGGC